AGCAGCACCCCCCTATCCCCCCGCCTCATACGCCAGCAACACCCCCCTATCCCCCCGCCTCATACGCCAGCAGCACCCCCCTATCCCCCGCGCCTCAAACGCCAGCAACACCCCCCTATCCCCCCGCCTCATACGCCAGCAGCACCCCCCTATCCCCCCGCCTCATACGCCAGGAACACCCCCCTATCCCCCCGCCTCATACGCCAGCAGCACCCCCCTATCCCCCCGCCTCATACGCCAGCAACACCCCCCTATCCCCCCGCCTCATACGCCAGCAGCACCCCCCTATCCCCCCGCCTCATACGCCAGCAGCACCCCCCTATCCCCGCGCTTCATACGCCAGCAGCACCCCCCCTATCCCCCCGCCTCATACGCCAGCAACACCCCCCTATCCCCCCGCCTCATACGCCAGCAACACCCCCCTATCCCCCCGCCTCATACGCCAGCAGCACCCCCCTATCCCCCCGCCTCATACGCCAGCAACACCCCCCCTATCCCCCCGCCTCATACGCCAGCAGCACCCCCCTATCCCCGCGCCTCATACGCCAGCAACACCCCCCTATCCCCGCGCCTCATACGCTAGCAACACCCCCCTATCCCCCCGCCTCATACGCCAGCAGCACCCCCTATCCCCCCCGCCTCATACGCCAGCAGCACCCCCCTATCCCCCCGCCTCATACGCCAGCAACACCCCCCCTATCCCCCCGCCTCATACGCCAGCAGCAGCCCCCTATCCCCCCGCCTCATACGCCAGCAACACCCCCCTATCCCCCCGCCTCATACGCCAGCAACACCCCCCCCCCTATCCCCCCGCCTCATACACCAGCAGCACCCCCCCTATCCCTCTATCCCCCCGCCTCATACGCCAGCAACACCCCCCCTATCCCCCCGCCTCATACACCAGCACACCCCACCCCTCTATCCCTCTATCCCCCCGCCTCATACACCAGCAGCACCCCCCCTATCCCTCTATCCCCCCGCCTCATACGCCAGCAACACCCCCCCCCCCCCCCTATCCCCCCGCCTCATACACCAGCAGCACCCCCCCTATCCCTCTATCCCCCCGCCTCATACACCAGCAACACCCCCCCTATCCCTCTATCCCCCCGCCTCATACGCCAGCAACACCCCCTATCCCTCTATCCCCTCGCCTCTATTCCTCATACGCCAGCTATCTACATCTGTCTACACCTGCGCCTTGAGGGACTTGGAGTGTACCTGGACGGACTTGTGGGAACTTGGTCCAGCAGGAAAAGGTAATATTTCTCCTGAATACATTTCTCCTATATGTTAATGGTGGCTTGGGATGACCATCTTGGATGTGGGCGTGAGATCTGGGCATAGGGCGTGGGCGTGGGGCGTGGGCGTGGGATATGGGAGTGTGAAGTGAACGGTAAACATGGCGCGGGGTCGGACATGTTGCCTCAGGGTGTGGGTAGGTGATTCGGACGGGGGCCAGGAAAGACTTATCCGGAGAGCCACAGGTGTACAGCATGATGTATCCACTTGTATCATGCCTCCGGCTGACCATCCACCAGCATGATGTATCCACTTGTATCACGCCTCTGGCTGACCATCCACCAGCATAATGTATCCACTTGTATCATGCCTCCGGCTGACCATCCACCAGCATGATGTATCCACTTGTATCATGCCTCCGGCTGACCATCCACCAGCATGATGTATCCACTTGTATCATGCCTCCGGCTGACCATCCACCAGCATGATGTATCCACTTGTATCACGCCTCTGGCTGACCATCCACCAGCATGATGTATCCACTTGTATCATGCCTCTGGCTGACCATCCACCAGCATGATGTATCCACTTGTATCATGCCTCTGGCTGACCATCCACCAGCATAATACCTGGAGGTTACCTGGAGGTGCTTCCGGGGCTTAGTGTCCTTGCGGCCCGGTCGTCGACCAGGCCTCCTGGTTGCTGGACTGATCAACTAGGCTGTTAGACGCGGCTGCTCGCAGCCTGACGTATGAGTCACAGCCTGGTTGATCAGGTATTCTTTGGAGGTGCTTATCCAGTTCTCTCTTGAACACTGTGAGGGGTCGGCCAGTTATGTCCCTTATGTGTAGTGGAAGCGTGTTGAACAGTCTCGGGCCTCTGATGTTGATAGTTCTCTCTTGAACACTGTGAGGGGTCGGCCAGTTATGTCCCTTATGTGTAGTGGAAGCGTGTTGAACAGTCTCGGGCCTCTGATGTTGATAGTTCTCTCTTGAACACTGTGAGGGGTCGGCCAGTTATGTCCCTTATGTGTAGTGGAAGCGTGTTGAACAGTCTCGGGCCCCTGATGTTGATAGTTCTCTCTTGAACACTGTGAGGGGTCGGCCAGTTATGCCCCTTATGTGTAGTGGAAGCGTGTTGAACAGTCTCGGGCCTCTGATGTTGATAGTTCTCTCTTGAACACTGTGAGGGGTCGGCCAGTTATGTCCCTTATGTGTAGTGGAAGCGTGTTGAACAGTCTCGGGCCCCTGATGTTGATAGTTCTCTCTTGAACACTGTGAGGGGTCGGCCAGTTATGTCCCTTATGTGTAGTGGAAGCGTGTTGAACAGTCTCGGGCCCCTGATGTTGATAGTTCTCTCTTGAACACTGTGAGGGGTCGGCCAGTTATGTCCCTTATGTGTAGTGGAAGCGTGTTGAACAGTCTCGGGCCTCTGATGTTGATAGTTCTCTCTTGAACACTGTGAGGGGTCGGCCAGTTATGTCCCTTATGTGTAGTGGAAGCGTGTTGAACAGTCTCGGGCCTCTGATGTTGATAGACCTCTCTCTGCTCTGCTCTTCAACGGGGGTATTCTGCACATCCTGCCATGCCTCCTGGTCTCATGTGATGTTATTTCTGTGTGCAGGTTTGGGACCAGCCCCTCAATTATTTTCCACGTGTAAATTATTATGTATCTCTCCCGCCTGCGCTCAAGGGAGTACAGATTTAGGCTCTTTAGTCGGTCCCAGTAATTTAGATGTTTTACTGAGTGTAAAGTGGAGTGAATGCTGAGTATAACAGCATTTACCAAACATTTACGTCACCACTAACGAAACCTGTACATCTTCGCTATCAAGGTGGCTTAATTTGAATCTATTTAAGTTTACGAGCTTGGGAAACGCTGCGAGATCGTTCCCGACCTCGCAGCGCTTCAGACCTCGTAAACCATTTAATGAATGCAAACAAGCCTGTCATGATTGAGGAAAGATGTACAGGCTTCGTAAGTGGACACGTAAGTGATTGGTGAATCTAGTTACAGTGTGCCAATTGAAAGCTGCTGGATGGTCAGCCGGAGGCGTGATACAAGTGGATACATCATGCTGGTGGATGGTCAGCCAGAGGCATGATACAAGTGGATACATTATGCTGGTGGATGGTCAGCCAGAGGCGTGATACAAGTGGATACATTATGCTGGTGGATGGTCAGCCAGAGGCGTGATACAAGTGGATACATCATGCTGGTGGATGGTCAGCCAGAGGCATGATACAAGTGGATACATTATGCTGGTGGATGGTCAGCCGAGGTGATACAAGTGGATACATTATGCTGTGGATGGTCAGCCAAGGCGTGATACAAGTGGATACATCATGCTGGTGGATGGTCAGCCAGAGGCATGATACAAGTGGATACATTATGCTGGTGGATGGTCAGCCAGAGGCGTGATACAAGTGGATACATTATGCTGGTGGATGGTCAGCCAGAGGCGTGATACAAGTGGATACATTATTCTAGTGGATGGTCAGCCAGAGGCGTGATACAAGTGGATACATCATGCTGGTGGATGGTCAGCCAGAGGCGTGATACAAGTGGATACATCATGCTGGTGGATGGTCAGCCAGAGGCGTGATACAAGGGGATACATCATGCTGGTGGACGAACAGCGGCCACTCCCCCAGTTAGTAGCAAGCCCGTACCGCCATGGACACGATGACGTCACACACGTCGTGACGTCACCTATATGGGTTTGACCAGTAACGATGACGTGGAGGATCACCCCCCCCCCCCCCCCCCCCGCCCATGTGGTGGATTGAGGAGGAGGATAAGTGAGGCGGATAGTGGGTAGTGGTGGTTCCTAAGGCTAGAGAATGTCGCACTATCACGTTACTACCCGTGACTCACCCGCCCTTGTTAGTTCTCTCTTTGTGTCTGTCTATCGTAGTCTCTTTGTCGTCTGTCTATCGTAGTCTCTTTGTCGTCTGTCTATCGTAGTCTCTTTGTGGTCTATCGTAGTCTCTTTGTGGTCTTTCGTAGTCTCTTTGTGGTCTATCGTAGTCTCTTTGTGGTCTATCGTAGTCTCTTTGTTGTGGTCTGTCTATCGTAGTCTCTTTGTGGTCTATCGTAGTCTCTTTGTGGTCTGTCTATCGTAGTCTCTTTGTTGTCTGTGTATCGTAGTGTCTCTGTGGGCTGTCTATCGTAGTCTCTTTGTTGTCTGTCTATCGTAGTCTCTTTGTGGGGTGTGTATCGTAGTCTCTTTGTGGTCTATCGTAGTCTCTTTGTGGTCTGTCTATCGTAGTCTCTTTGTGGTCTATCGTAGTCTCTTTGTGGTCTTTCGTAGTCTCTTTGTGGTCTATCGTAGTCTCTTTGTGGTCTATCGTAGTCTCTTTGTTGTGGTCTGTCTATCGTAGTCTCTTTGTGGTCTATCGTAGTCTCTTTGTGGTCTGTCTATCGTAGTCTCTTTGTTGTCTGTGTATCGTAGTGTCTCTGTGGGCTGTCTATCGTAGTCTCTTTGTTGTCTGTCTATCGTAGTCTCTTTGTGGTGTGTGTATCGTAGTCTCTTTGTGGTGTGTGTATCGTAGTCTCTTTGTCGTCTGTCTATCGTAGTCTCTTTGTGGTCTGTCTATCGTAGTGTCTCTGTGGGCTGTCTATCGTAGTGTCTCTGTGGGCTGTCTATCGTAGTCTCTTTGTGGTGTGTGTATCGTAGTGTCTCTGGTGTGTTAGTGCCCTCGGGGCGGGTGTTGAGGGCGGGTATGTTGGTTAGTGAACGTGTTGATGCAGGTAGCCCG